AGACTAACAAGCCATAGATGTTGAAGTGCTAGTAATCAACTTAGTGACTTGGTCTGGGTATCCAGTCTGTGATTATTGAACTGCATCTTACTGTTTAAGGAAAAAAATGTGACTGACTGGACTACCCAGGTAACAACTAATTTTGCTTTTAAGCCTTGTGTTGCAAGACCAAATGCTGCTAAACTGTGTTTGATATTCAGTTTAAATTGACAAGATGATTTGAATAAATGCTTATTTCCAGGTGCAAATGTACTATTACCTAAACTGTATTGTTATTAACTCTTGCCTAGATTAAATCAAGATGTCTTCAGGAAAGGCTTTCATTGGAAAACCAGCCCCTGACTTTACTGCCACGGCTGTAATGCCAGATGGACAATTCAAAGACATCAAACTGTCTGACTATAAAGGTAAGCTTATGTGCTGTTCTCATTACACAATATAATCTGGCCATATGCAGCAGTGGAGGGCATCTAAGGATACATCTTTCGTTTGATTTTGACTTAATAGTGACCACTTGGTAGTAGATTGAAGTAAACTTGTGCAGTGATTGAGTGGTGGTTGGAGTATGCTGGTTAATGACAACTGCTTTCAAAGCATGGCTGAATGTCACAGCTATGATAATTGTTGCTAATCAGCATAAAGCTCCTCTATGCTATAATCTTGGATCAGGCTTATTTGTCCTGTGTGTCATACTATGAGACTGATGTAACATCTCCAAAGTACTATGTGAAACAGCAAAATCTTCTCTTGTAGGTTTTCTGTCAATGGAAGGTAGATTCTTTCTTCTAACCAATGAAGCTCCTTTCTCTAGAGTACTGGCAAAATATTTGCCTTACAAAAAAACTTACTAAAATAAAGGGAAAGCCTGATGTACTCAACTACTAATGCAGATGTCTTTAGAGACATTTCTAGCTGGAAGCTGCAGGCCTCAGACTGCATGAGGGTGTTGAGTAGGTATATGGCAAGTGTTAAAACAGAGGCATCTGTAGCTTGCCATTTAATCTTTACAGGTGGGTGTTGTATCAAGCCCTTTCTCCTTTATTAGTATTTGAATGGTTGATATTGAATATGACTCTTAAAAAGGCAAGAGATTAACTGATTATACTGCTCTTCTAGGAAAATATGTTGTGTTCTTCTTCTATCCCCTGGACTTCACTTTTGTCTGTCCAACTGAAATTATTGCATACAGTGACAGAGCTGACGAATTCAAGAAAATTAACTGTGAAGTAATTGGAGCTTCTGTTGACTCTCACTTTTGTCACCTTGCCTGGTAAGAACCAGCCTTGTAACCTAATAGAATATTCTGCCTGGCCTCAGTTACTGCAGGAACTGAATCCTGAGTGTATTCAAACCAGCTTAAGTGTTAAAAAAAGGAAGGCACCTGGAAAGTATTGGTAGTGCCAGGTGCTTCTGAACAGAACTGAGCATACCTTTCAGTTCTTTTGTTGCTTTGTTGGCGGACTGTGACATTGCAGAAAAGATCAGCTTCTGTTGTACCTTACACTTTACTCTGAACTGTCTGTATTTCTAACACTTAAACTTCTGCTTTTAGGATCAACACTCCTAAGAAGCAAGGAGGTTTGGGTACTATGAAAATCCCATTGGTTTCTGACACCAACCGTGCCATTGCCAAGGAATATGGAGTACTTAAAGAGGATCAAGGCATTGCATACAGGTAATATGCAATAAGGTAAACTTGCTGTTGAAGCCTTATGTTACAATACATGGAGCATGTCAGATGAACACATATGCTTGCATATACTTGAACACCTGCAGCAAGCTGAAGCTATCAGCTATTCAAGATGTAAACTGCTTCAAGCTATCAAGTGCTCCTACAAGAGGAGATGCTGCTTGGTTCTCAGTGGTGTTTAGAGTTCTCATAGTTTTGGTAAGCTAGATAAATGTGTGCT